AAAAAAAAAAAAAAAAAAAAAAAGGAAAATGTATATATTGAGATGATTAGATTATGCAAACACCTTCTTCAATATATCCGTGTACGTTGATATGATTGCTTCAACATTCTGCTTATATATTTGCAGACGCGATTTCACCTAGAATCAATAATAAAGTTATATGTTAGAAGCCAACAGGAGTTTGAGGATCAGGTTAGATAACAAAAATAGATTACAATTTTCAGAACTAATAATTGCATGCTGAGATTTTACATAGATAATATTGTCCATTTCCTAAAAATAGCCTAGATGGTCTAAGCACAACTTTACATAGATCATAGTATCTAAGTACAGAATCATCTTGTGAGTTGACATACTTTTCCTAAATTAATACTGTCCATTTCAGAAATCATATGCAATTCCTTACCATCTCCTCAAGAAAATTCAATGCATCTGTAGTGAATTTGTAGGGCTAGATGTGATCTTTAAAGTTCCACCTAGATTTACTAATATATCTGTGCCAAGTTGTATTGTGAGATGGATAGTTCTAATCTTTTGGTTCAGATATATTGTAGCAAAACCATCCTGATTTTGAGATTATTTTATTCTCCTTTTTTTATTTTTCTCCTCTGATTCTAGGTTTCTAGTTATGCGGCCTATCAAAAAATGTTTCTAGTTATGTGGCATGGTAAGCTTAAAGGGTATATAACATCTTGCTGTATCAGTCATAGAAAAGGTATCACCTGTGTGCTCATTTCTGTTTGTGTTTTTTTGACAAGCCTAGCATCTAAGAAGCATGGACATGGACAAACGACACAGACACGTTGACAAGACAATTTTTGAAAAATAAAGGACATAATATGTGGGGAATAAGTGCAAAATATATTGTTTTATATATTTATTATGTCATTATATGAATACTTCGTTCAAGGATAATTAAAAATATACAACATAACATTAATTTCTAAAATTTAAAGGAGGATGGATTAATATGTATAAATCTACATTATATTTCTTTTATCATTGGAACCTAAATTATTTTGTTCAAACTTGTAATGTGTTTCGTAATTGTCTAAGCAATGGACACGTGCATCCCACAAGTGTCTTCAGTGTGTCAGGGTCTAAATATTTTACAAAATAATATGACAAATTTGGACATGTGTACAACACATGTCAGGAAGTGTTCGACAAGTGTCTACGTCCAAAACTTGTCCAAACTTCTTACCCTATCATCTTGATTGATCTTCTCTCTCTCTCTCTCTCTCTCTCTCTCAAAGTGAATATGTCAAAGTTGTTTTTGTTTGCTGCAAAGATTAGTTTGCATTATATTATAATAATATCACTTAAGAGTTGCTGGTTAAATTGATGGTACATCCATGTGAATTAACAAGCAATGAGTGACAGGAACATAAATTTAGATTATATATGTTGGGTAAACATACTTTTTCCTCTGTGTCATCAGGACGCGTTATGAGCCTTGCTTTAATCTCTTCGGTCTCTGGAGGGAAATTTTTTATATGGTAAATCTTCCCTGTTACAGGGTCCAGCCTTCTACCAACACATCTGTTGATTAGAATTTCATCAAGAACCTGAATATAAAGAGAGAACATTGCTGTAAAAGCTCAATTCTGTAAAAGTTTTAACAAATGGAGAAAAAAATTTGCAAACATTGCAATTAGAAAATTGAGTTAAAAAACTTTTAAGGCACTTCACAAATAGGACATGTTTGTGAAAATGTTTGTTTGATCTTCTGAAAGAATTAAAAAGACAAAATCACAGCTGAAATACTAGAATTTTTTTACTTTCAATTGCATATTCTGTGTGTACAATAGGACTTTTTTTCACCAATAAAAAGTTAAAATAAAAAAAAAGAAGCTGAAATGTTGAGAGGGATGTGTGGTAGAACAAAGAACAATAAATTTTAATGAACATGCAGGAGCTGGTGGAAGTAGCACCAACTAGAGATAAAAGAGAAATTGACATACATCCAATACAACGTAAATATCAGGTCTGATCTTCAGTTTTTCCAGACTCTGCGCTTGGTCAAAGCTTCGTGGGTATCCATCTAGGAGCCACCCTTTCTCTTTTACATCTTTTTGTGATAATCGGGTTGTCACCATCTACAAAAGAAAGTATTTGTTTCCTGTAACGCATGAAATGGAAAAGAGAAAAAGAAAACAAAAGTGGAGATCATGTCATACAGTTGTCACAATTTCATCAGGAACCAAACGACCCGTGCTCATGTATTCTTTTGCTTTATTCCCAATTTCTGTCCCAGCTGATACTTCAGCCCTTAGAAGATCTCCAGTTGATATATGCACCAAGCCAAACTGAAGAACCAAGAAGAAAGAGTCATGGATGGAAAATAAAGAAGATAGTGACAGTTTTGTAATAATGTACTAGCACACTGAGCATGCTTTAAGTAATAATGTAAGGGACGCGTGGCCATTTCATAGCACACTGAGCATGTGAAAACAGAAAAATGTAACTGTTGGGACTGGGACAAGTAGTATCTAATTTAAGCGTGGTTCTTAAAAAGTAAAAGTCAGATGAGATTTTAAAAAAAATATATATTTAATTTTTCCCCAAATGCGAGGATGTAGCTTTTGGAGATCCAAGGCATACTCCTCAAGGGTAGGGCTTCATGTCTTAAGTTACTCTTGTGTTTTTAAATTCTATTGCCTTAATCAGTAAAACCAATTTGAGCTGGTTTGCCCAATCTTTCAATCACTGTTTGGTAAGATTTTGGCAATTGCTGTTAAAAATCTGAGCATAAAGTTTGGAAGGTAAAAAGTTTGCAGGGAATACAAAGTGCTATTTGGTTGTTTTTTCCCAGTGATGCTTTGTATAATGTTATTAATAATATTCTGAAATGAATCTTTGGAAGAACTTTAAAAATTATAATTTGCCAAATCAGTCGTGTACCCACCCCTAGTGTTGTCCATATAGTTTTTCCTTCGCCACTTAGCCCCTTTTTCTTGAGTAGCACAAGGGAAAACAGAATGGTGAATAACTTCCTCAAAAGTCAAGCATAGAGATTTGAAAAAGAAACAAAAGCACTCATGTTCACAAGCATGATAATGATGCTCAGAGAATCCTACAAGAAACTCCAAGTCGCATAATATGGGTTTTGCCTTTTATGGACCCAATACATGAAAACTACAATAAATTAGACAAGCTTATAGAATTTTATGCCTATCAAGACTCTCCAAGTTAATGCCAATTCATTCTCAATAGTCAATACCAAATTACTAATATCTTTCTTCTAGAGAAGTATACAAAACCAACTCCAAGCAAGTGATGAATTTACAGAGAATAAATAAAGCAGCCAATACTCATTAGTATGAAGAACATTACTTCACCTTCTGAACAATCATCTCACATTGAGTCCCTTTCCCTGATGCTGGAGCCCCTGATATCATAACCTTTAATGGCTCAGTTTGCAAACACATCACTTTCATTCCCTGCTAAGCAAGACAGAGAGAGAGAGAGAGAGAGAGGCTTGGATCAACAAAATTTTCCCAACTAGGTTCTCACAAAGATTGCATTATGCAATAAATGGGTAGACAAATATGATCAAATTCACTTAATTTTTAAAGTAAAATGACCTAATTCTATCAATCTCTTCACTGATTTTCCCCTTGTTAATATGAAGATTGTGATAAGACACACCCATCCATCACGGAACAATTCAAACCTATCATTTACACTATAATTTCATTCATACAGATATCAAAACCTTCCTCTGTCAAAATACATATTCACATACATGTATACATTTGTTAGGCTAACTGACCTAATTTTATCAATATCTTCACTGTTTTTCTTCTGGTTAATATCCATCTTGGAACACACAATTCAAACCTATCACTTACACTAAAATTTCAGTGATACAGATATCAAAATCTGCCTCTATTACATACAATTGGACATACATGTATACAATTTGTAAAGAACGTGACAAAGAGGAAAACTCCGAACCTTAGGTTTTAGGGTTGATTTCGAGTAGGAGTACTTGGAAACATGGAATGACAAGAGATGCTGCTGGGGAAGAGGAGATGAGATTACGGAGAGAGAAGAAGAAGAAGAAGAAGAAGAAGAAGAAGAAGAAGACGATGAAGACGATGATGATGATGAGAGAAAGGAGGTGTAAAGAGAGAAAGTACAGAGAGGAGGTGGAGAAGGGACATTGTTGCAGTGAATGGAAGTGGGTGAGTAGTTCAACATTGTCGTAGCTGAAGCAGAGAGAGAGAGAGAGAGATGGAACGAGTGGAAGAGGCGAGAGAAGGGCCAAAATTAACGGATAAACTGTTACCTAGACTCTACACGCGATCCCTTCCCTTGTATATTTAATTTTGGGGAAATTACACACACACATACAAAACCTAGGGTTTGATCCTTGTAGCAAAATAAATCCTGAATTTGTAATTTTATCAATTTAAACCCTAATATTTTGATATGTTTTTAATCTAATCATCTATCTACTTTTTTTAAGTAATACTTACCCAAAACAAATATATGATATTTTAGTTATTAAGCTCAACGAAAAAGCGTATTTTAAACATGTTATGTAAACATACATTGAGTTTAATGACTAAATACTATTTTTTCGTCAGTTTTATTTAATGAAAATATGTCAATGATGTAGATTGAAAATAAATAAAAAGATTAAAGTTTAAATTGACCAAGTTTAAAACTCAAGGTTTATTTTGTTATAAGAGACAAACGTTAGAGCTCTTTTTATAAAAAAAAAAAAAAATGTAAAAAGTACTTTAAATATTTAAAAAAAGAAAAAGAAAAAGGGTAATGCACCTGTAAGAGATAAGGGCTTATCCAACGGTTCACCAAATATTTCATCAAATTTGAGTAAAAAAAACGCGAATTTCTCTATTTGATATTAACCACTCCAATGGTACTGTCATCAAAACACAGGTCGACCGGGGAGACGACCGGCCGGACGTCTGGCCGATCGACCGGAAACTATAATCCAGCTTAACAAGTGTAGTGCTTGTATGATTTCCCATTTTTTTTTTTCAGGTTCTGCCATTATTTTTTCCTTTTTTTTCTTCTCTGTTTATGGATGATTTTGATCAATTCGGATACTTAAATGCAAAATTGTGATTGTGTTTGTGACAGGAGCTTTGGGTTGGAAATGAAGAACTTGTTGACATGTATGAAATGAGACTTGGTGATGCTGGCTATATCACTTTCAAGCTTGCCTACACCAACAATCGTGGTGATGGTATGCTCTGCTCTCATTTCTTTTTTGTATATTCAGTCTTATTCAACCAAAAATGTTACAGAGTCTATATGTAATATATCTTTCAAAATTTATCTGATTGATCATATATATATGGGTGTGTGTGTGTGTGTGTGTATGTGTGTGTTTGAATATAGTTATATGTATATAAGTATGGACTATGACAAATTGATCATACAATGCTTTCTTTTAGATTTGCTGAGTAGATTATCTTATTTGCATATATGTATTGATCAAATTGCTTTTCTGCATTGGAGAATCTAATTTTTTTTATTTGTGAAAGTCCTCTTTAAATCAAAGTGCCTCATTGGAGGTTGCCCCAAATCATGATTTTTTTGAACCAACAAAGAAGGCAAGTCAAAAAAAAAAAAAGCAAAGGTGGTAGGTGCAGAGGTGGTCATATGGGAGGACATCTAGCCGGTCGTCTGGTGGGTCAACACTCAACGGCTATGCACATTAAATTGGTGAAAGGTGCAACACATTCCAATTTGGTGAAACATTTGTTATATTCTCAATTTGATACTTTGATACAGGTTTGATGAAACCATTGGAGTACAAAAAAGGAACTTTTTCACCAAATTTAAATTTAGTGATCGATTTAGTTCAGCGTTGGAGATGGCCTAACGGCAGTGGTACACACCCAAAACTATAGAATTTCCTAAGAAAGAAACCCTATGGAGTGTTCGATTTTTTTTTGAATGAGTTTTAAATAAAATGGTAATTCCATTTAAATATTCATCAATGAGGAGCATGATCATTCCATTGAGAGATCAAGAAAAAATCATTTTATTCTCATCCAAATCATTCCAGTGAACTAAATTAAATACTCTCTTTGCTCTTGCCTTTATTTATTTATTTATATAGTATCATATATTTGTTTGTTTGATTTTATGAATGAAATTGCTTTCTTTGCTGATTAAAAAAAAAAAAAAAAAAAAAAAATTCATCACATTTTGAGCTTGATAAGAAACTTAAATTCCTCTAACACTTTTACATCAAATGGCGATGGTTTCATCATTCATTTTCTTTTCACACTATATCTTAGCGCCCTAAACAATGCTAACCTTCTCAAAATGAAACAACAAAGTACATCAATTATTAGACATAATTATTTGACAGAATAAATGAGCAATTCCTTCAATTACAAATATAGTGACATTTTAAAATAAAATTACAGAAGTTGTACCAAATATCATCAAGAAACCGAAAATAAGCAATTCTCCAGCGCATCTTGAATAGTAAAGGACCCACCACAACCCAAAAACCAACAACAAATCCAAGTGCCGATATCGCATAGAACCACATTTCTGGAAATCCCTCTCCTTCTTCATTGCCTCCATGTTTAACTTTAGGTATTGCCTTGCCTTGTTTGTGTCACAGCTTGGGAGTGGAGGTCCACAAAGTTTGTTGCTGACGAAGCTGGAATTCTCTAAGCTTTGAAGTTGAGTACTTAATGGAATTTGTTCTATCAAATTATTATAAGACAAATTCAAGTGACTCAAGAATGTCAAACTTGACATGCTCAAAGGAATTTCACCACAAAGTTGGTTTAGAGAGAAATCTAGGGATTCAAGTTGCTCCATGTCACCAATATTCTTTGGGATCTCTCCGGTAAAATGATTTCCAGACAGATTCAATGAATGCAATCCAACTAGTCTAGTTAGTTCCTTGGGGATCTGTCCAGACAAATTGTTTTCTGAAAGATCCATGCTTGTAACAAATTTAAGGATGGTACTATATTCAACCTCTCTTCCTTTGGTCACAAGAAATGCATTTTCTTGAGCTCCTGATGTAGGACTCATTGCAAAATAAGAAAAGAGATTGCTTGAATTTTGTTTTTCAACCATGGCTGTGAAATTGTTGAAACATTTTGGCACAACTGTTGAGAGATTATTATGTGCAAGGTCCAAGATTTGAAGAGAACTTAGACGACATAGTTCATATGGAATGCCGCCTTGAAACTTATTTGAACGAAGGTTAAGAACTACCAATTTCGAAAATGAATTCCCCATCCAAGTAGGAATGCTTCCAATAAATTCATTTCCACCAAGATCAATGAGCACCAAGTTTACACAATGTTGTAGAGATTGCGGTAGTTTTCCTGAGAGGTTGTTATGTTGCAAGTGCAATGATTTGAGAGAAGCTAAATGTCCAATAGATGGTGGAATGGTACCCATCAATTGGTTATTTTCTAATTGTAAGACTTGCAAATATTGCCAATGCTGCCAACAATTAGGAATTCTTCCAGACAAATAATTGTTTGCTAGATTAAGAACAATCAGCCAATTTTGTTTCCTCATCCTACCACATAAGGCATGGTAAACAGATCCTAAAAAAGAATTATTTGAAAGATCTAACCTTTCCACAGTAGAGGAGATGGCTGGTAACATACCCTTGAAGTTATTGAAACTCAAGTCAATCATAGAAGCACTAATGAGAACCTCAAATTCTCTTGGAATCTCTCCACGAATTTGGTTACGAGAGAGATTTAATTGCCAAAGGTGGGAAATTTTGGGCCAAAACCATTGCGGAATGGAATCAAAAATTCCTGTGTTGGCTATGTCCAATAATGTTAATTGTCCTTGGTATTTGATAAGAATTATTATACAGAAGCAGCCACGGCTTCAACTTCAGCAACAGTTTCTGCAGAAGCAGCAGCCACGGCTTCAACTGCTTCAACTTCAGCAACAAATTCTGATATGGTCCAGAACAGAGCTTTATCTGTAATATCATGTAATCAGTTAGGAATTGGTTAGCTAATTTGTTAGGAGTTAGTTACACTGTTAGGAGTTAGTTAACTGCTTAGATCAGCAATTGTTTACCTTCTATAAATACAGATTGTATGTACTTTCCAGAATTTCTTAATATCCTGCGTGCTACAGATCTGCTAGGGTTTGTTGATGGTTCTCATTCTTCTCCACCATCAACAATTACAAATGCAGATGGAACCACAGCAGTGAATCCAGAATTTCTGCAGTGGAAACAAATTGATGCACATCTATTGAGTTGTTTAACAGCTACACTCACACCTGTAATTTTCTCTTCTGTTTTACATCTTCAACATAGTGCAGAGGTTTGGCAAGTTCTGTCAAAACGTTTTACTACATTGTCTCGCAGTCACATTCATCAACTGAAAAATCAATTGACTAATCTGACCAAGACTTCTCAGTCAATTGAAGAGTATCTGAGTCAGATTAAAGAGTTAGCTGATCAACTTGCTCTTGCCTCTTCTCCTGTAGATCCAGAAGATCTTGTTCTTATTACACTGAATGGTTTACCTGCAGCATTTGATGCTTTTAAAACCACAATACGAGCTAGATCAGAAGCCATCTCTATGGAAGAACTTTCATCTCTTCTATGCTCAGAATCTATTCACATGCATTCCACGATCAAGACCATTAATAATCATGAACCTTCAGTCGCATATACTGCTTCTCGTGGATCTTCTCAAAATTTTTCTTCTCAAAGTCGATCTTATGTCAAAGGTCACAGAGGTGGTTCTCGACATGGCTCTCGAGGACATTTTTTATCTCGAGACAGAGGTCGACACTCATCCAGCAGTCACCATCACAATTTAATTTGTCAGATATGTGGAAAACCTAATCACTCAGCTCTAGAGTGTTGGCATCGATTGAATGCAAATTATTCTGCTCCAAATCCGTCGCAGCAACTTCAGTCACAGCAATTTCTAAATCTGTCAAGGCCATCTTCAGCACAATCATCCTCTGGTTTTTCAAACACCAGAGCTTTTGTGGCCTCTGCTTCCTCTCCACAACCTCAGTATGATTCCTCTCCTTGGTATCTTGATTCTGCTGCATCTGATCATATGACTCATGATTTGTCTCAGTTGAGTCTTCATCAACCATACCAAGGCACTGATCACATCACTGTTGGTAATGGTAATTCTATCCCTATTCTTAATACTGGTAAGGGTCTGTTACCTACTCCACATCATATTTTTAAACTCAACAAAGTCTTGCACACTCCTATTGCTTCCAATCTTGTGTCTGTGCACAAACTTACTAAAGATAATAATTGTACAATCACTTTTGATGATTCTTCCTTCATTGTTCAGGACAAACACACCAAGGACATCCTACACAAGGGCCTTAACTCACATGGTTTATATCACTTTCATACAACCAAGCACAAGCCTTTTTCTGCTGCTATTCCATCTTCTTCATTTCAGTCTCCTAATGCATTCTGCAGTTCAACTACTAATAAAGTGTCTGCCACTGTTTGGCACAAGAGATTGGGGCATCCATCATCTCTCAAGTTTACTAAGCTCCAACACCTTCTTTCTTCCACTTGTAATAAAACCAAGACTGATGAGTTTACTTGTGTTCATTGTTGTGTAGCAAAGAGTCATAGATTACCTTTCAAATTGTCTAACTCTACTGTTCAAAAACCATTTTCTCTCATTCACAGTGATGTATGGGGACCTTTTTCCCTTTCTCTTTCCGGTTATAAATACTATGTACTCTTTGTTGATGAATATAGCAAATTTACTTGGCTTTATCCGTTGTGTTACAAAAGTGAAGTATTTGATAAATTTGTAGAATTCACAGCATATGTTGGTACTCAATTTTCCACTCACTTGAAAATTTTTCGTACAGATGGGGGTACTGAGTTTGTTAATGCCTCTATGACTAAATTTTTTAATTCTCATGGTATTCTTCATCAAATTTCTTGTCCATATACACCTCCTCAGAATGGAGTCTCTGAGAGAAAACATAGACACATCACTGAGACTGCCATTGCACTGCTTCACCATTCTTCTATACCTATTAAATATTGGTTTGATGCTATTTCTGCAGCCACTTATCTAATTAATCGCATGCCTAAATCTAAGGCTCCTCATTCTTCTCCTTATGAATTATTGTTTCACAAAGCACCTGATTACTCCTTTATGCGTGTGTTTGGATGTCAATGTTTTCCTTGGCTTAAGTCACACACTTCTCATAAACTTCAACCTAAATCCACTTTGTGTGTTTTTCTTGGTTATCATCCTTCTTACAAAGGATATCGGTGTCTTGATCCTTCCTCTGGTAAGGTTTATCTGTCTCGTCATGTCATTTTCCATGAAAATATTTTTCCTTTTGCTAGTACTTCTCCTCCTACTTCTCAGACCTTGTCTATGCTTCAATCCTTTTTCTGGTCTCCTTCTCCTTCTTCATCTTTACCTTCTTCAGCAGCTCCAGATCCCGTGCAGTCCACTGCATATCCTAAATCTGTCCAATCTGCACTGCCAGCCACAGTTCCCGTGCAGTCCAAATCTGCCCTACCAGCCACAGTTCCCGTGCAGTCCACTCACTGTCCTAACTCTGTCCAGTCTGCACCTTAGCAGTCCTCTGTCTTCCCTCAATCTGTCCAGTCTGCACTACCTCCTCAGTATATCTCTTCTTCTCTGCCATCAGCTCCTCTCTCTTCTTTTACTCCCACTTCTACTCCTATTTCTTCTATTTTTATTGATTTACCTCTACCTCCTCCTTCTACTAATTCTCATTCTATGATTACTCGCTCTAAAGCACATCCTCAAGTCTTCTTGGCTTCTTCTTCCTCCTTTTCTGACATTGAGCCATCTACTTATCAGCAAGCTCTCACCTCTCCTGTTTGTCACACTGCCATGTTGGATGAATATAATGCTCTTCTTGCTTAAGGTACTTGGTCTTTGGTTGCTTTTCTTGCTTCTAAGTCTACTATCGGCTGCAAATGGGTATTCCGTATTAAGCGCAATTCTGATGGTTCTATTGCTCGTTATAAAGCTCGTTTGGTTGCAAAAGGGTTTCTCTAACAAGAGGGGATTGATTATACTGAAACTTTTAGCCCCGTTGCCAAACAACCTACTATTCGCATTTTATTGTGTGTGGCTCTGCATTATCAATGGCCTCTGAAACAACTTGACATTACTAATGCCTTTCTCCATGGTACATTAGAAGAGGAAGTTTACATGACACAGCCTCCAGGCATCACTAGTTCATCTCATCCCACTCATGTTTGTCTTTTAAAGAAGGCTCTCTATGGTTTAAAGCAGGCTCCTCGCGCCTGGTATTCTACCTTCTCCCAATTTTTACTATCGCAAGGTTTTATTAATAGTCAGTGTGACAATTCCTTATTCATTCAAAGGACTTCTTCCACTGTTACTCTTCTTCTTGTATATGTTGATGACATTTTGGTTACTGGAAATAGCTCTTCTCATATTCAATCACTTCTTGCTCAAATGCATACTGCCTTTGCCATGAAGGAGCTCGGGGATATTTCCTATTTCTTGGGTATATCTATACAAACTTGTGGTGATTCCTATTTCTTATCTCAACACAAATATGCTTCTGATATCCTCATTAAAGCTGGTATGACCGCTTGCAAGCCCTGCAATTCCCCTATGTCCGTTAAACCTTCTCTTGGTTCAGATTCTGCTCTTCCATTTAATCAACCAGAACTTTATCGCAGTGTTGTTGGTGCCCTACAGTACCTTACGATCACCCGACCGGATTTATCTTTCTCTGTTAACCAAGCTTGTCAACACATGCATGCTCCCACTAATGCTCATTTTGCTGCTGTCAAACGACTGTTACGATTTGTCAAAGGGACTTTAGCTCATGGACTCACTTTCAGTCCTAGTTCCTTTGAACTTCAGGCCTTCTCTGACTCGAACTGGGCTGGTGATGCTCTTGATCGTCGTAGTTCTTCAGGCTACTGTGTGTATCTTGGGTCCAACCTTATTTCTTGGTCTGCTAAAAAGCAGCCAACTGTCTCACGATCCTCAACCGAAGCTGAATATCGCTCTCTCGCTCACACCACAGCTGAGCTTACTTGGTTAACCATGTTACTTCGTGAACTTCAGCTTCACTCTCCTATTCCTCCTCTCCTTTGGTGTGACAACCTGTCTGCTATTGCCTTGGCTTCCAATCCCGTGTTTCACACTCGATCAAAACACATTGAAGTGGATTGTCACTTCATTCGAGAAAAGATTGCTACCAAACAGCTACTTCTCAAATACATTCATTCTCTTGATCAGATTGCTGACATATTCACAAAGCCTCTCTCAGTGTCACGATTTCACTACCTTCAAGCCAAGCTTCTGGTCTCTCCCTCTCCCATCAGCTTGTACGAGGGTGATAAGAATTATTATACAGAAGCAGCCACGGCTTCAACTTCAGCAACAGTTTCTGCAGAAGCAGCAGCCACGGCTTCAACTGCTTCAACTTCAGCAACAGATTCTGATATGGTCCAGAACAGAGCTTTATCTGTAATATCATGTAATCAGTTAGGAATTGGTTAGCTAATTTGTTAGGAGTTAGTTACACTGTTAGGAGTTAGTTAACTGCTTAGATCAGCAATTGTTTACCTTCTATAAATACAGATTGTATGTACTTTCCAGAATTAATAAATGAAATGATAAGAAATACATTTTCATCAGTATTGAAGCCAATCTGGAAATTGCAGTCCTAATTGCCAAGAGGCCAACATCAAATATTGAACTTGAAAAGTGGGGATCCAACCATCACGCACTTTCAAAGTTAAATTGTTCTTACTTCCATCTAAGTACCTTAATCTTGTGAGATTGGCAAAGTGAATCTCATAGACAACACCCTTCATCAAATTATGAGATACATCTAAGTAGCATAACATCATAAGTTGCCCAAGACTTTTAGGAAGAGTTCCATTCAAATGATTATATGAAAGATCTAAAGTTTCTAACTTTGCAAGTTGCCCAAGAGTTTTAGGAAGAGGTCCATTCAAATGATTATATGAAAGATCTAAAGTTTTTAACTTTGCAAGTTGCCCAAGAGTTTGAGGAAGAGTTCCATTCAAATGATTATATGAAAGATCTAACCTGTCAAGGATGATAATCTTTTGATGCACTTCGGAATGGGACCAAAAATGGAGTTGTTTCGAAGAAAAAGGAAGGCTAGATTTTTGAATTGGTCAAGCTCATTTGGCAATTCACCACCAAGATAATTGTTCACTAATGACATTGACTCCAATCCATCTAACATGCATTGGGAGAAATTTTTGAAAACTTCGGCTACCTCTCCAAATTTGTTATATGATAAATCAATTTCCTTCAACTTGCATAGTTCTCCCAATGATGTTGCTATTTTACCCTCAAGTTGATTGTGTGACATGTCAAGGCTAATGAGGGAAGTCAAGTTTCCTATGTCTCCTGAGATTACACCTTGCAAGAGATTGTTCGCGAGAAAGACCGACTCGAGACGGTTAAGCCTAGACCACCCATTCGGCAATGAAGTGAAAAAATTGTTAGACAAATCAAGGCTAATGAGGGAAGTCAAGTTTCCTATGGCTCCTGAGATTACACCTTGCAAGAGATTGTCCCTGAGAATGACCGACTTGAGACGGCTAAGACTAGACAACAACCCATTTGGCAAGGAAGTGAAAGAATTATTGGACAAATCTAGATCTCTAAGACTAGTCATGTTTAGAAGGCCAATTGGAATTGGTCCCTGAAACTCATTGAAGCATAAGTCTAGAGAAATGAGGTCTTTCAGGCTACACAACTCCTTGGGCAATGACGAACTCACATTATTTCTAGAAGCATGAAACTCCTTGAGAGAAGTCATGTTTTGAATACCATTGGGAATTGGGCCATAAAAGTTACATGAACTGATATCTAGGGAAACTAGATGATTCGAACTAAAAATCCACTTAGGTATAGACGATGCAAAATTGTTATAAGAAAGGTCGAGGATATGTAGTGATGTAAAGTTAATGGTAGTTGAAGGAGAAGAATATTTGAGATCAGAACCACCCAAGTGTAATTCTACCAAAGAAGGAAGCGTGCTTATCACCTCTACCCAATCCACTGCTTTGCTAAGGTTTACAAATGACATATCAAGGTGTTGTAATGAAAGAAGACCTGAAACCCAGTGTAAATTATCACCACTTAACTGTAGTAGTTCAGTTTCAGGAAAAGTACCTTGAAGAAAAAGATAATTCCAGCTCAAGTCCAGATAACGCATCATGGTGAGATTTCCTAGTTGATGAGGAATGGCTCCGCTGAATCCGGCATTAGACAGGTTGAGGTACCTCAGACTTCCAATAGAGCCAACGAAACTAGGAATGCGAATCCCTCCAAAATAATTCCCGCTAAAGTCCAGATGACGGAGGTGCTTCAAATCGAGCAAAGAAGGATTTATTTTTCCTTCTAACTTGTGATAACGCCAGCAAGCTTCATATTCAGAATAATTTCCATTATAATGACAATCAGCAGCACTATAATTAGAAGGAAGGTGGATCTCATGGATATGGCCAGTGAAGTTGTCGCAGACAACTCCGGACCATTGACAACAGTCGTCACTAGCCCAAGAGGACAACCGGTTGGAAGGGTCTTTAAGATCTTGCTTGAATTTTAGAAGGGCTTGCTTTTCAGTTTTGGAGCAAACAATGTTTTGTTTGATTGAAATTATTATTTATTACTTAAAATTGAAACATAATCACAAATTAATAGCTAATAAATTTCTAAATTTCTCATGAACCCGTGATAAATATGCAACACAGTACAATTTAGTATTCGGTGTATTTGTGACTTAATATCGAATGTTACTCGCGCTATATGTAGTACGTTTTGCTGGGCAAAACTTGGCTGGTCAATATGGGGAGATATTTTAAATGACTTTTGTGTAACAATCCAAAGGAAAATGTTACAATCTTTGATCTTTCTCACTTATATCTCCATCAAAGTATTAGTGACTCTAAGGAGTGAAATTTGAGTTTGGATAAGCACACATCATTTTCTATTATATATATTAGTGGGGTTTACGCATGTAAATTTCATTTTTATTGTGGATAGACGGTAATATATATATATATATATATATATATTTGAAAATTATAGTTTTTTATTTTTTGTATTTTTTATTTTTATGTATTTTTTTAATATTTTAAACTATTTTTTTCTTTAGATACACATAATTTAGACACACTTAAAAAGTATAATATTTCTAAAAAAATATATATATAAAAAAATAGATAAATACAAAAGAATATGAAAATATATATTCTTTTGTATTTAGGTTATATGCATCTAAAAATAAAAATATATATATTTAATATTTTTTTTAAAAAAGCACTAAAAAATAAAAATGAAAAAAATAAAAAATCCAATTTTCAAAAAACTATTCCAAACCAAACTGTTATCGCTGTGCTTGATTAGAAAATTTGGAAAGAAAAAAATAAAAACAAAGCAAAGTAGGTGAAATGTGAATAAAATATACCTATATTTCACATAATTTCATGCATTTTTTTATTTTTCCTTTCCAAATCCTTTCTCAAATCCTCAACCAAACACAATAAGGGTTCATCCATGAAAATGTTACAAACTCTAATGCAATTCATGTGATTCTTCCTCTTGACGTGAAATTCACTTCAATATTAGCTTCATCTAATGTGTTTCAAAAAATTATTTCTTATGTGGATCACACCTATCCACTCAACTTTTTTAAAATTATTTTTTAATTTAGTGTTTTATCACTACAAGCCATTAAAGTTTCAGAGATAAAAATTTAAAGATAAAATAACTTTTTAGAGATAAACTATTTTTGTCCCTAAAAGTGTTATTATTCTATTTTTAACGACAACATTAGATATTTAGTGATTGATTACTAACCATTGGAGATCAAAAGTTTTGTCTCAAAAAATAAACATTATTGAAAATTTTAGTTTCATAGAAATTAATATGTAATATGAATAAATTTTTTTTTTATCTTCACACATTTATAAAAAAATAATTTGAAGAATATTCGAAAAATTTAAGTATGTTTATGAAATTTTTGGAATATTTGTATAGGAATTAATATTTATTAAGATACATATTCTAAATATAGTGATGAAATTCTTAATTAAGAGTCGTGAAACTTAACATAAACCAATAGTTTTTGGTGGTTTCAATTTTGATTCATTTTTAAAGTTTCATGATTCAGTTCGATCCATAAATTTAGAGAATAATAACAATTAATTTGATTGTTAATTTACCTCAAAATCAAACTAAATTTATCTAACCACCCATATTGTTGCCCTTCTTATGGATGAAACAATGATCATGACCACAACTTTACAATCTATGTCTGAGAATTTAGAATTTTAGTTAAAAAATCAATAAAATCAATATTATGGTCAACTTTTTCTTTACTTTACATAATTTTTATAAAAAATTAAAAAAATATTTAAAAAGTCAATTCCCAATGGATGGAAATGGATTTTGCATTTGTGATCCTATGAGATATTTTAAGCGACTTTTTTTTGCAACAATCCAAATTGGCTTGAATTGGGCTGTGTTAAATGAATGCAAGGGGAACAAAAATAAAGAAAATTTTCATGAGATATACATTTAAAAATAAAGAAAATTAGTAGAAAGTCTCTTTTAAGGAAATTGTTTAGTCATAAATTTTATAAAAATATAGAGACTAATGACGTAATTTATTAGATTATGTCAATTGATAAAATAACTTAAAGGTAATCTAATCGATTATATATTGATATCTAATTATATTTCAGTTTCAAAATTTAAAAAAAATAAAAGAAAAAAATTTGTCAAATTTATTTATATATTTTTTATGTTCATGAAATATTTCTTTCAAAACTGCTTATATGAGAAATTTTATTTAATTAGTAATGTAGAAAAATTACTTCATTTTTTTTGGCACATACCTTGATCGACACCTCTAGACAATTTTTAATTTCGCCCTTTAATTCAGAAATGTGATTTGTAATTCCTAATTTTTCTACATAAACAACGTTATATAGATAATGTAAATAAATTCCAAACAAAATTTAGTGAAGCATAATTTCAAATTTATTTATAAGAAAAAAGATGTAAACAAGGACCACAACAATGATAATTAAGACTGAAACATGTGTCAAAGTCCCACTACAATAGCTCAGTCAAAAGTCAAGAAGACAATTATGGTGGGAGGGAGTACACGAAGCGTGATCCAGACGCATTAGAAAGAAAATAGTCATTTTTTCTAACGTGTATTTGAAGAAGACAATTATGAGAGGGAGTACACGAAGCGTAATCCAGACGCATAAGGAAGAAGATAACTATTTCTTCTAACGTGTATTTCACTTCATGGGAAATTCTATGGTACAGTGTACTATGCACTTTTGGTTATGATTTTTATTTCCTTAATTATGATTTATTATTTTGTTAATTATGATACATTGTGATATTATTTATGACATTAATGTAGTTATAATTTAAAATTTGTTTGGTTACACCGCATGTGATATTTGATTATAACTCAATTTTTTTTTTAGCTATAATTCACATAGTATTGATGCCCCATTTGGATAAACTTTTTTAGCCTGACTTTTTTATTATTTTAACCTGACTAAAAAAAGTTTTTATGAGATAAATTTTTAGCTTTTTTTGTAATTGATTTGATGGTTGTGAGAAAAAAAGTAAAATGATTATAATTTAAATGTGACATTTTGGCCTTGTTTGAGAAGTTGACTATTTTAGTTGGCTATTCGACTTTTTTGTTATTTTAGCCTAGCTAAAATAATTATATTCGGAAAGTTGGTTTTTTTTTTTTAAAGTGAATTTGATGGTTGTAAAAGAAAAAATGAAATAATTATGAATTAAATATAACATTGTGTGAATTTGATTCATAAATTTAGAGGGGAATGGCTTCCCTCCAATCCAATCACGGACTGGAGAGTATTATTGGGCCCGTGGGGGTCTATCATGGGTCCCGTTTTTGATAATTCAAACTGTTTAATGTGTAGAACTCGTCGAGTACTATATGCCTGTAAAACATTACGTTGATCGGACATCGATAGTTATGTGATCAAATCAGTTTTGTATGAAAAAAATGGACAATGAAAAATAAACGGCTTACAAAAAACTGATGTGATCACGTTGCTATCGATATCCGATCAACGTGATTTTTTACAAGCATATAATATTCAACGAGTTCTACACATTCATGGTTTGGATTATCAAAATGAGACCCGTGGTGGGCCTCCACGGGCCCAACAATACTTTCCAATCTGATCACGAACTGAAGGGAAGCCATTCCCAATTTAGAGAATATAATAACGACTAATTTGATTGTTAATTTACCTCAAAATCAAACTCAACGATAGCCTTATTGTTGCCCTTCTCATGGATGAAACCATGATCATGTACCATAACTTTACAATAAGCTTCGTGTAAGATGTAGATTAGCTTTTTATTTTATTTTATTTTTTTGATTATTTTAACTTGAGACTAATATTTTTAATTCTTGATATATATATATATATATGAAGGGGTAATGTTATTGTACATTTTTTTGGTGCAAATTATACCATTTATAAATTTGATTATCACAAATATCATAACTCAATATTAAAGGAGTCATAACTAATTAAAAAAATTGTGTTATAATCAAATATCACATGAGTTGTAACCAAACAACTCTTAAATCATAAATAAAATAATTTTATAACTAATATTATAATGTGTCATAATTAATAATACAGTAAGTCATAACCATAAACATAAATTCATAATAAAGAATGCATATGATAGACTGTAGCATAGAATTTCCCATGAAGTGAAATACACTCGAGAGGAAATGGTTATCGTCTTCCTAATGTGTCTGGACCACGCTTCATAGACTCCTAGGCTACCACTGGTTCAAATAAATAAATAAATAAATAAATAAATACTCCCTGCCACAATAATTGTCTTCTTGACTCTTGACTGAGCTATTGTAGTGGGACCTTAACACATGTTTCACTCTTTAATTATTTTTGTGCTTGTTTACATCCCCCCCCCCCGCGTAAGTAATGGTTTTGTTTAAAATTTATCTAAAAATGATTGAAAAGTTAGGTTAGTGGCTTTTTTTAATCATAATAGTTAATAAAAAATAGATTAAAATTATTAATAACACAAAATATCATATTCAAATTATAATCATTTCATTTTTTATCTCGCAATTATCAAATCAATTACAAAAAAGCCAACTATCATCCCAAACATAACTTTCTTTAACTAGGCTAAAAAAATTTAAAAAGTCAACTAAAATGGCTAAATGCCCAAACGAGAAGCATTGCACTCGTTTAGCATAATAGATTTTGGGGGTAAAAGGTTATTTTAGTCACAAAGGGTTCGTTTGAGATGTGGGTTAGCTTTTTGACTTTTTGACTATTTTAGGTCTCGTTTGGCAACTCACTATTTTAGCTTAAAAGTTAAAAAGTCACTAAAAGAACTAAAAAGCCAATTACCTGTATAAAAAAGTCAAAGATTCTCTTTTCTCTTTACTTTTTATACATATTTTCGTACAAAATCAAAAAGTCATTCTAACTATATTAATTTTTTAACCTCATATTTTAACCAAAAAATTAAAAAATTACTAAAATAGCATGTTCCCAAACGAGGCATTAATCTGGGGTAAAGAGCCTTGTTTGAGATAGATTTTTTGATTTTTTTGACTTTTGTGAGAGAAAAATTAAATAATTATAATTTAGATGTGGTATTTTATCTTATTAACTTTTTAACTTATTTTATGTTTTTATCACTATTTTAACCCCATTACCACCTGCTAAACGAGTGCTGTATCAAACTAATCATTTGCCCACTTATAACTAGAAAATCAACCAATATTAAGCCCAACAAGTACCACAAGTTCAAATTTAGAGAACAAATAAATAAACAAAGGATAATACATTTTTTACTTTTATATTTTAACTCAAATTTCACTTTAATTTATAAAGTTTTAATTTGAATAATTTAGTTTTTACACTTTAAGTCCAGTTTTCATTTGGTGATTTGTACAAATTTTCATTAATTTTTCTAAGAGCAAATTACCAACACCCCCCCTTGAGGTTTGACTAAAATACAAATTCCACCCTGATGTGATGACCGAGTACACTACTCATTCTGTTTTTCCTTCGTTTAGTTTTGGATTAGTCTTGATTGGGGTATCGGGTTGGCTTGGAAAACCTTGTTAGTGGTTTGAAATTGTTGCATTTGGGAGTCTCTCACAAAACTTGTTCTTGTTCTTTCGGTGATTGATTTTTCTGCTCGTGTTAGGGTTGCTCGGTTGAGACCGGGGTGTCTGGGAGTGATCAAACAGAGTTTTGGGCTGCTAGGCCAGGGCCGCACATACGAGGGCCTAGGGCCGCACTTGCAGGAGAGAGGAGTTTTAGTGAGTTGCATTCTTTCTAAATTGCAGGTGCGGAGGGGGAGGTGCGAAGGAGCCGCATGTGTGGGAGTCATAGCTGTATGTGCGGGAGGCTCGCTCTGCACGTGCGGAGGCAAGTGTTGCGTGTGCGGTCGGCCTGAGTCTGAAATTTTGCCTTTTATTTTTTTATTATTATTATTTTTTATCTCTTTTGGCAGAGTTGTATCTCATTGGGGCATCTCTCTCTCACTCTAAACACTATCTTTACCCGTCCTTCTCTCTAGAAAACCTCATCTAGTACTCAAAATCTTTGATTCCTTGTGATCCTCTGAGTCTTGAGTCATCATCTCGCTCTAACCTTGAAGATCAAAGCTTGAGCTTTTCTTGGTGTGGTGGAAATTGCAGAATCCTCCATCAAGAATCTAGGGTTTCATCTCTTTCATCATCAAACATTGAGGTAGGGATTTCTTGAGTTATATATACATGTTTTGCTATATTAGTGTTGATTTAAGAGTTTGCTTGAAGTTCTCATGTTGATTTTTTTTTTTTATTTTGAGATCTAAAATGTAAATGTGGGTTTTAAAAATCTCAAACCTTTCTAAAGATGGTATCTTGAGAGTGAAATCCTCTTAAGTAGGAAGATAGGGTGTTACCTTGAGTCCCTTTTTAAGTATTTAGTGTGTGTGTGTTTTGTAGAGAGGAAAATCTAGAAATTTGGGGATTTTCTTGAATAAAAGAAGATAAGGGTTTTATTGTTGCCATATATATATATATATATATAGATTCATAGTGATGTGCCATGACAAGTGTAGAAAGTGGAGAATTTCCTTGTTTAACTATAAATGCTTGTATACCAATATAATGGTGTTGGATTTCTCTAGTCATGAAAAGTTTTGGAAATTGAGAGTGTTTGTTTAAAATTTATCAACATCACTAGGAATGGTGAAAGCAATGGAAGTGTATGAATTGTGGGCATGTTATATTAATGGTGATGATTGGCAACAAACTTTGGGCTATTTGTGGAATAGCATTGCAAGGAGAAAAGGAAGTTGATCATTATTATGTATTGTGAATATTATGTTGAAACACAAACCATTATGGCATTGCACATTCATTCAAATTGATTATTACAAGATTTTTATTTAGCTTTGGCATGTTGCATAAACATTTCTGGCATCTATTGTTGCAAGTGTTGAGTTGAGATTTGAAATCATTTTGCTTGAGAAAGGAATAATGTGAAATACTATTCTTGAAAATGTTACGGGGTAAGTACGTTGGTAAGTCCCGTTAGGAGGTGTAGTTAAATTTGATAAGTTGGCCTGAGTGTCTGGGGTGAAAGACCGAAAACACGCGCGGAGGAGGTACCACTTCCCTTCCGGTTAGCAACGGGTAAAGTGGGGTTATTGGTAGTGCTTATTGAGCCTACTTGCAGACACCAACTTAGGGATTACCTGAGTCGTATTTAGCGCCCCTATTGATTAAAATTAGAGATCTCGGAATTATTGAGATTTTTAAACTGTTGTTGAAACTTGATGATTTTAAGAAGAGCATGTGCATGAAATTTCCTTTAAACTGGCATTGCATGGCATTTGACATTTGCAATTTACATTGAGAGTTTCCATAACTGTATATACTTTGTAAGAATTCTCTACTGGGCTTTATGCTCACCCCTATGGGATTTTGGTGTAGGAAAGGACGTGGTGATCCTGCCAAGTTGAGGGCGTGGATAATTTGTGAAGAGTATATAGCTTTTTTTTTGTTGTGAATTTATTGGTAGCCAAGGGCTATTTTTGTATGGGTCCGAGAGGCCACTTTTGTGTAACCGGGCTTAAGCCTTGAAAGTTGTAGCCCATAAGGGCATTTTATTTATTTTGAGAACTATATGCTTCACGTGTTATAGATTCATGCGTTTTCTTACCAATGAATGTAGAATTTGCATGTGAAACTTTTGTATAAACTCGTGTATTAACCGTGTAAAGATGGAAGGATTATTATCATTTAATTAATGAATGTGGCTTAATGTATTATATGTGTTGGGATTATTTTCGAGGCGTTACAACTTGGTATCAGAGCTACCGGGTTTGAATACTTGGGGCTCGCGGGAAGTGGTTGTTAGACCACAGTGGGTTCATTTCGCATGATTAGGAAATGTTTTATTTATTTGTGATTATGTGATAACATGCTTATGTGACTATATGGGTATGGGATTGGACTTTTGGGATGTTATTTGCGCCTATTAGATTCCTAGAGGTCTTATTAGAAGGGTACTTGATCAATACTTATTCTACTAAGAATTCTTGGCTTTTCATGGGACGAATCTCATCACTAAAGGATAATTCGTATGTGCTTATGTGGAATGAATTGAATTATTTGTGTGATAGAATATATATGATTGTTATAGTTTAACGTATGAGGCAAGTTGCGAGCACATTTGGAATTATATGCTAAATTATTTATCTTGTTCCTTAATTAGGATGTCAGGAAGGGTTCGAACTCGTGGTGGTAGAGGTGGAAGGCACGGTAGCGGTTGCTGGGGTGTACATGAGGTTTCGGTCCAAGGGGTTCCGGTGCAAGAAGAGGAGTTCGGCCAAGCTAATGTGGCCGAGCAAATGGGGCAAGCTGAGATACCGGAGCAAGTGGGCCAAGTCGCAATGGGGGCCCTAGCCCGAGAAATGGCGCGGCATTGAGGGAGTCCATGAACATACTTAGGGCAGAGACCCAAGCTAGGGAGAACGCCGTGGAGACAAGGGCGAGCTTCCTCATGAGGGAGTTTTTGCGGGCCAAACCGGATGAATTCCATGGTGGTCCCGAGCCAAAGAAAATGGATAAATGGCTCAAACTAACTGTGAAGACTTTTGAGATGCTTCATATAGAAGATAGCGAGTTGAGGGTGACTCTTGCAAGTTACTACCTCAAAGGGGATGCGGGCCAATGGTGAAAGTATGCTAAAGGCCGTATAGAACCGACATGGGAGGCATTTATGGTGGCCTTCCAAGACAAGTATCTTCCTCCCACTGCTAGG